GGAGGTGGAGGCCTGGATGTCGGGCTGTCGTTTCTGGAGCTGTCGGCCGGGCGGCTGGCGTCGGGCTGGAGGCGGTCGGTCGCCTGTGGTTGCAGTTGCACTGGCTGCCTCCTCTCGGTGGGGAAGAGTTGTTGTGTGAGGCTGGGGCGGGCGGCCCGGCTTTTATACGCTCCAGGCGGCCCCGGCTCGCCAATGAGCTGAATGGAGTCCCACACAAACAGGGACATTCCTAGCATTCCTCCCCACCTTCCTGCCTCATCAACTCACACCGGATTGATCCTGACCCCTTGACACTCAGCATTCCTCCCGTCTGAAAAAGCTGGCACACTCCAGCTCTCCAAAAAAAAAAAAAAAAAGGCTCAGTATTTCCAGCACCAAATAGGATTTTTCCCCCTTGCTTCTTCGCACCACTCCTGATTTATATCATTTAAAAACACATCAGCAACTATTATTATTTTTATACCACTCACTTCTCTTTCTAATAGCTGTGCCTGTTCTGCCGCCTGACAAATCCTTCTTAGGATGTAGGTGGCTAAAGAGGCTAACAGCAGGGATTCCTAAAAAATTCGAAAGGGTTTCCTCTTTATTAATCTTGTAATGATTTTAATTTTAGAGGCTGTCTGCCTTTGAAACTCTTCAGAGAGCAGAAGATGAGTTAGTTGCTTTTAAGCAGAAATCCCCAAAAAACCTGCCTGCAAAACCCTGAATGCCAGACTGGACACGTAGGACTTTGACCTTTAGGGTCTTGGGATAAGGGTTTGGTTGCCCATTGCCAGACAAGAAAGAGAACACAGCCAGAGGTCTGAGTGCGTGTGCAGCTTTCTGGGGGAGATTCCCAGCACTCTTGCTTTGTTTTTTCTTAACTCATGTAGCAGTTTTATTATTGGGGTATAGGGAGGTTAAAGCAGATGAGTGGGCATCCATATTTCCAGAAACATGGTCTTCTTGTTATGTCAGAGCAGATGATTATGTATTGGGTAGGTAGAGGCTCTGGATGTTGGGGCGAGAACACACGAGTGGGAAGAGAGGGGAATCAGACAGGAGCGGGCCAGCAAGATGCTTGGGGTTTACTGAGGGTGTTGAAAACACCGTTGTGGGTCTTTGAGAAATGAGTGATTTTTCTTACACTCAACCCTATAATATTCAAATGTGGATTATCCTTGGTTTGTCTTGCAGTAAAATATCTGTTTATATAACAAGAACAGTGTCCTCCATTTACCTGGCTATGAATTAAGAGCGTCAGTGAATAATATATTTTAGTGGCTCTCCACCCATCTATGAATAGTGATTGTAACTTTTTATTACCGAAGGAGCATGCAGTCTAGTGGGATGAGATCAGGTCAAGGAAAGAACAGTTTTTATTCCCTCTGCTTGTGTACAGTTTTCAAATATGGCCAACAAAGCCTAAGCCTATCTTCACGTCTTAATTTTGCTAGTTAGCTTCACCAAGGACTGAGTTAATGAACTGTGCTTTCATTTGGCATCTACAGTTTAGTCGCTTTTTTGTTAATAGCTCCGGTCACCATGTTATGTAAAGAGAGTGATTCCAGTGCCATCCCAGTGTTTTCTATTGTAATGCCACATCATTTGACAGTGGTGGTACCGATGACTTGTTGATGCTTCATTTTATTGGCTTAAGATACCCATATCTGTTTCTGATGCAGAGACAAACTTTCAGAAACAACACTGTAGATTTATAAGTTGAAAACAGCCTGTGTAAGCTGGCCATATTTTTTTATATTTTTTTAAAGTTTCAATTCATTCTGTTGAAAAATAGCCAAGAAAAAAACACACACACACACAAAAACACCACTCCAACTTCAGCAGAGACCGCATCATCTGTGCACAATTACCTTGTTAAGCAATCCACATGTTGTACAGTGTAGTTGCATGTCAACAGTGTGAATGGCCAGCAAAGGGGGCCTCTGAAGCTCAGGAGGAATTTTCATCATTGTTATTTAATGTTCTTTCCAAGCATTCCTCAAAGAGAAGAGGCCTGAACGTTCCTATTTAAAGAAGGAACATTCCAAGTTATGTTAATAGCCACATGTGTATTAAAGGCAACTTGGCCCCCAACTGCTTCTTCCCTTGTGGATGATTTGAAAAGTCCAAAATATGTGGGAAGCCACAGCGAAATCTTTCAAGACCTAAACCCTCAATTACATCTACCACTAATAGTTGGAAAGGTGTGGTAAATGGGGAAGGGTAGGGATGTGAAGTTCTAACCTCACCTAAGGTGGGATGTGGGCTGAGTGGTGAGCTCTCTCAGCTTGCAGGGTGAGAGAGCTGAGAGAAAGGCTGGGAATGTTTGAATCTTCTGGAGAGTCTGAGAGCCACCATCAACAGCTTCATGTGAAACAGAGTGAAGACTTTCATTCATGGAGGCGATACATTGCTGGACTGGGTTACATTTGTTTGGCCTGGGTTGTATTCTTGGAACTGCCATTCACAAATCTTAGGGAAGTCACCAGTAGGAGCCGCCATATTCCCAAGTTTCCATTTATAAAATGATGATAATAATGAGAATTTTTTATTTCATAGGGTTTAATGATGGTTAATTAGATTAATTCTCAGGGACTTGGATGATTATTATTATTATTATTATTATTTAGTCTTCTTTTATTTTCTCTTTCTCCACAAACATAACAAATATATTACCATTCTGCTTTGATGGTAAAACATTTTTTACTATAAAATTCACATGGTCCCTCAAAGTCGTAAGAGTCCATCACAGCTCCAAATGGGTGGTTTTAATACTGGCTAAGAGAAAATAAGCATATTGAAATATACAGAGCATAGAATCTCAGGAAAGAAAAATACTCTGTGCATTATAAGGTGTATGATCAAAACTCTTTTGAAGGGTTTAAAGTAAAAGATTGTTATTAATAGAGAGAGAGAGATGACACCCAAGACATTCACAGACTCAAAAGTATGTTTATATTGTGATACGGATCATCAAGTGCCAGGAAATTCAAAAGGAAGGGCTGACACTCAGTCCCTAACTCATGCCATGGGGATCTGAATTCTTGCACTATTATAAATGACTCAGCAAATGTTTGTGTGTGCCTGGGCGGTAGAGTGGATATAGTGGCTTCTTATAACTTTGTCCAACTCTGACTTATCCCAACCCTTTTGATTGACAGCAGGCCCAGCATTGGGAGAAAAAGGTCTTTGAATTTGTGTACAAAATGGTTAAGACGCACTAATTTTGTCTTGTAAGCAAGTGTTTATCTAGCAAATGCTTTTTAGAGAGCATTTTCCCCCCCCTGCTGAAATGAGGAATTCACTAAGCTGGCCACTGAACCCTGTTTACAGAGCTATATAAGGTATGTGTGTGTCTATGTGGGCATCATTAGTACAGGTCGTTTAGTTAAGTCTTGTAAGATGTTCAGCTGTGGATGTACTATATTCCTTCTCCTATGTTTTTTGTTGTTGTTCCCCCCTTAAAAAAAAAGGGTTACTTGATCAGGTATCAGACATAGAGAAAACCTGGCAGGACTACAGGAAAGTGGCCAGACTTGGAGTGTTTGTGTACTTAAAGAAGGAATTTTGCACATTTTCAACTTTGAATCCTGGACATTTTCTTATAAGAGCGAGTAGGAGTCTGTGCCAGCCCTCAAAGCGGAAATCAAAGCTCCCAAGGAAACATACCGGAGGAATGTGACTCAGAGCCAAGACACATACGCAATGCATACACTGAACTGTCAGATTTATAGGAAGTCTGGCCGTATAAGGACAGCTGGACAGTGAGCGATTTGTCATGATAGAGGCTTGGGAGTGGGCTTCTGATGTTTCTGGCATGCCTCAAATTCAATCATGTACATGAATGTGCCAGAAGGCTTTTTGAAAATTCTAATAAATATTATCTGGAAGACTTCAGGGACCTGGCTTGGTTTACATGGCCTTATATTTGCTTAAGATGAAGGTTAAAGAGAGGGTGTACTCTGGGAGTTCAGAGGTGGGAACGAAGCACAGATGTTTACTATCTAAATTATATTCGTTTCCTTCCTGCTTTTCCTCCTTATAATTAGTTCTGTGACTTTCTTAGCATATTTTCTGATGCAAAGGTATTTGTCAGAAGGTAGTCGAAGTTGTTTCATGTGGTCTGGGTTTTATGTTTGCCTGTTCATTTACTTGGAGATGGAGTAGAGGCTAGAGGAGTGAGAAAGGATAAGATTGTTTTTTTTTTTAAAAATATATTTCCTTCAGTTTACTGTTTGTCTCACTTATTTTTTTAAATTTTATTTTTTAATTACAGTTTATATTCAATATTATTTTGTATTAGTTTTAGGTGTACAGCATAGTGGTTAGACAATTATGTGCTTTACAAAGTGCCCCCCCACACCCCTAGACTTCCAGTACCCACCTGGTACCATACATAGTTATTACAATATTATTAACCATATTCCCTATACTGTACTTTACATGCCCATGGTTATTTTGTAACTACAAATCTCTACCTCTCAATTCCTTTACTATTTTTACCCAGCTCCTTAATACCCTTCCCCTCTAGGAGCCATCAGTCTGTTCTTAGTATCTATGAGTTTGTTCTGTTTTGTTTGCTCATTTATTTTGCTCTTTAGATTCCACATATAAGTGAAACATATGGTATTGGTCTTTTTTTGCTGACTTAATTTCACTCAGCATAATGCCCTCTAGGTCTCTCCATGCTGTCACTAATGATAGGGTTTTATTCTTTTTTTATGGCCGAGTAATATTCCATTGTACATATATACTACAGCTTTTTTATCTACTTGTTTATTGACGGGCACTTGGGTTGCTTCCATAGCTTGGTTATTGTAAGTAATGCTGCAATGAACATAGGGGTGCATATATTCTTTTGAATGAGTGTTTTGGGTTTCTTCAGATATATACCTAGAAGTGAAGTTGCTGGGCCATAAGGCAGTCCCATTTTTAATTTTTTTGATGAGCCTCCATGCTGTTTTCCACAGTGGCTGTACCAATCTGCATTCTCACAAACAGTGCACAAGGATTCCCTTTTCTCCACATTCTTGCCAACACTTGTCATTTGTTGATTTATTGATAATAGCCATCTGACAGGTGTGAGGTGGTATCTCATTATGGTTTTAATTTGCATTTCTCTGATGATTAGTGACATTGAGCTTCTTTTATATATCTATTGGACATTTATATGTTCTCTTTGAAGAAGTGCTTATTCAGGTTTGGGTTTTGTGGTTTTTTTTGTTGTTTTTTTTTGTGTGTGTGTTGAGTTGTATGAGTTCTTTATAGATTTTGGATATTAACTCCTTATTGGATGTATAATTGGTGAATATCTTCTCCCATTTAGTAGGTTATTTCATTTTGTTGATGGCATTTTTGCCGTGCAAATTTTTTTTAGTGTGATGCAATCACATTTGTTTATTTTTTCTTTCGTTTTCCCTGCCTGAGGAGATATATCAGGAAAACTGTTGCTAAGAGAAAAGTCGGTGATTTTCCTACCTATGTTTTCTTCTAGGAGTTTTATGGTTTTGAGTCTTACATTTATACCTTTAATCCATTTAGAGTTTATTATTATATATGGTTTAAGAAGGTGGTCTAGTTTAATTCTATTAGTTTAGTTAGAATCCTGTTGTAAAGAAAAAAAAAGAATCCTGTATTGCCTCTAGTCTGCATTACCCTCAGATGGTGCCGTAGAACATGGATGCTACTACTGATGGAGATGTGTCTCTGCTACTTTTCCTGATATATCAGCAACTCAAATTTATTGCAATTGAGCAAGCAGGAGTCTTTACAACCTTGGTTTTATCAGCCTAAATGTGAAGAGCCTTTTTGGTGATACTTAAGTGTTAGCGAGTAGGAATGAAAAGGAGTGGAGATAACCATTCTTTCAAATGTGTAATTTGGTGAAACAAATCCATAGGCTTAAGAGGAAGAGAGAATTGAAACAGATAACTTATTTTAAAGAATGAGAGTAAGGTAAGGGATAAATATTCTGAAAGGACTAGTGTAATATGTACCTGAATGTGTCCCTAGGGATTCTGCTGGAGGGTGTGGAGGTGGAGACAAAGCAAGCCAGATGCCACTGGTTCATCCTTGGAAATGTGTTCCCACCTCCTGCCCAGAAGGCTGAGTCCCTTCTCACCACTTCAGGGTTCCCTGGAACAGTTTAAAAAACCATTAGCTAGGGACCAGAGGTCTGGTTGGCTAGAGGTGTGAGTACCATACCTGCCATTTACCTGTCCTTTAAGCTCAGGGAAGGCAGTAATCCTCTCTGAGCTCCAAATTACCCACCTGGATATGGTTACTATTCAGCCCAAGGAGATCATATTTATGAAAGTATGTTTACATAATGTAGTAGGATTTTAAATTTACCCGTTTCTTCTGTTATTCAGTGGCTCTTCCTTGCCCTTAAGACTGAATCCAACTCAGCTTTGATTCTAAAAGCCCATCACAGTCTTTATAACACCATTCATCTTTGCAGGGATTTTAGTGTTAAAACTCTGTGAGAGTTGAGAGAAAATCAAATCCTATTTCTTCAAGTATGTAGATTAGATGCTCACAACTGGTAGAGATATTTAACAAAGGAAACTTTTTTGTCTTATGCCTCTAATGTCCTTACATGTTACCTGTATAAAAGAAATATGACAATATATTTCAGGATACATAAAAAGAAATTCTATACCCAGTTTTGGTCACATGATAGCATCTACTCCCTTCATTTCTGTTTTATAGTTTTCATTCCATTCCAGAGGGAATAGAGGGTTACAAATAGTTCTTTTTTTCTTCAGTGAAAGCGTGTGCCACTAATCCATAGGTAAGAAATGGTGTGTAAATATTAAAGAAACAACTAAAAATTTGTTATTGCCTGTATAGATGATGTTTTCTTTAGATTATTTATTTCTCAGAAACAAAGATGGTGTCCTTTTGTTTAACATAATGCCACAGACATTTTACACTTTACCTATATATTTTTTAGCACTTTTATTTTATT